TGAAGTCATATTCACATAACCATGGATCATAACCATTTCGGGGCAATAGAAATGCAGTATACCTACACTTTTTGTTAGAGAATTAAGTTCCAAGACATGGCCTACAAGTAACAAATTTTTTCAGACTATAGGGTACCTTCTATCTTCTGTACTTAGTATATGATATAGTAGGCTGGTTCCTTAGATGGAGAGACCCTGGAGAGAAGACTTGCTGTTCTCCCAAGCAACTGCCAGTCTTTTCCATCCCAATTTTATGAGCCTACCTTATAAAAATGCATTTTTAATATCTGGTCACCTCCTGTGTGGCACCTCCATTGCTGAGGTATTTCATTACCTAACATTGCCTGTTAGAACCTCTTGTTCTGAAAATCCGTAAGTACATGATTTTTTTTCTTGTTTTAGGGACCTTTTTTAAAGGAATTATAATTTTCCTCCAGGTTTTTTCTTTTGCATTTCCACTATAAGCCCAAGAATTACAGAATCTTCTTAGATAGTATTTTCCCAGGCTGAATCTGTGATAGCTACAGATGCCTAAGCCTGCTCTTCTGGAAAGTTACTGCACATCTTGTAATGGAAAAGTACAGCAGATCTCTATTATACACCTAGCATATCCAGTAGTTGTTACAGCCCCTAGCCCAGCCCTCTCCAGTTTGCTATACCCACTTCAGGTATTCCTTTACCTAACTAAAGGGGAATGACTATTTATTATATATGTGTAATATATATATTTATATATATTCTATATAATTTATTTATATATAATATAATATAAATTGCATTTATATGTTATGGATATCATATTAAAAGTGAAATATCACTTGTTTGTTGTGTCCTTTAGTCTTCATGAGTAAATGGAGTCATTATATGCTTATAGTTGCAGTGAATTGACTGCTGAAATTTTATTTAAGTCTTTAAATCTTATTTTGATCTGATTAACTTCTGAACATTTCTTAGTAACTAGTCACTCTAAGTAGTCAATTCAGGACTACTTATCTATTAGATTTCTGCTCTCTTATTATTTTATCTGTACTTAAATAATTGAGAGGATGAAAGAAAAGAACCTCCTGGACTTATATTTTGTACATGCTGTGTGTCTTCTTTCAGGTTCAGTAAAACAGTGGTATGTGAAAAAAAACAAAACAGTGGTATGTGAATCCATTATCAGCCACATCTTCATATTTCTCCTTTAAGGTATTAATATATCCTATCAAGAGAGCAGAATTATGGCTGAAGATAATGTCTGATCATATCAACATTTGATATTGGATATATGTTTAGATTATCCCAAAGAACAGGTCAATATTTCTTTGGTGTATTATGATAGTATACCCCCTTCTCATACTCTTTATAATCAATAGAGCAAATGTGGTCCACTATCATAGGAATTTGCCCACTGCCACTCCAGCGGTTATCTCCGTAGACCTGGGCAAGAAAAATAGTTAACTCTAGATGATCCTTATCCCTTGAGATTTCATGGTCCAATGTGTTCTGAATTTTACAATGTTGTTATGAAGCCTGCATGTTCAAATAACATTTAGATGTTCCTGCTTTAATAATACCTTTGGTTTCCCTTACAGTTTATCATCAGCCTTGATAAACTGGGTATTTGATAAACTGAAAGTGAGACATTGTTTGAAATATATTCTTTTGGTGATAATTGGGTGCATTGGGTATTGATGGAATGTGCTCAGTTGTGTCCAACTCTTTGCAACCCCGTGTACTGTAGCACAGCAGGCTCCTTAATCCATGGGATTTTCCTTACAAGAATACTGGAGAGGGTTGCCATTTCCTTCTCCAGGGGATCTTCTCAACCCAGGAATTGAACCTGCATCCCTGCATTGACAAGTGGATTCTTTACCACTGAACCACCTTGATGGAATACTGAAAAGCAAATTACAACTTACCTTGTGTATATCATAATGCTAACAGCTGAAGCCTATAATTCTAGAGCCTTTCCTTGAACCTTAAGTATTTTATAGATGTTATCTAATCCTAGAAAATCCCTGTACATAGAAAGGTAATATCCCTGTTTTTCTAGGGGGCATTAATGCCCATACTGCTCAAGTGAGTTGCCCAAGGTCACTCAGTGAGTTGTTGGTAAAACCAGAAATAGAATCCAAGTCTCCTGACTTCCAGTTCAGTTCTCTGTCCTCGATATAGTTTTCTATCCTCTATATACCCCTACTGCCTCTCATGGGAAAAGAAGTTAATCTTCCAGCTATTAATAGCCACCAAATTGGTGGTAGCAGCACAGTGGAGAAAAGTAACTGTCTTTACACTGCAGCATTAGTGTAAAAATATCTGGTAATGGAAAATTTGACAAATGTCATGTTAAAGGGAGTGGAAAATTATTTTAAGATCTGGATCTCATTTATCTAGTTCTCAGAAAAGTAAAATTCCTTAGTAGAATAGGGATCATATTTTTCTTCCTGTTTTTAAATTGTATTTCCTAGAGGGTAATTGTCAACCTAACCACAGCAGTCTTATTGTCAACTAATGTAACAAGAATAATGCATGTACTCTTGCTGATTGTTATAACTGTATTTTTTAACTTGGTTGAAAGTTTGAACTGTTTTGTTGAAATATTTACATAGCACTTATTTTATTCAGCTTTCAGTGTAATTTAAGTTATTGTCATATTGTAAAACATATATGACATCAATTGGAAATTTTACTGCCTGATTTGAAAACATGGTGAGAAATACACATTGTAGTTTGTTCCCTTAACAACACACTTCATGCAGAATTCCTTTTGTCAGGCACCATGAAGTTTAGCAGAATGAAATAGGCAAAGCAGAAAAAAAAAAAATTAAGAAATGCAGCATAAGTTCATGAAGCTGATCAAGTTTATCATTATTTATGTAATCAAGTCATTATTTTGTACACTAAGAAAAGGTGAGAAATCTCTATGTGCTTAAATATTTAATCATGTCTAGTATTGTGGGAGTTCACACAAAACCATTTGTCTCTCAGTATTAGAGCAAGGGACAAGAATTACCCTACTAAAAATCTTTGTATGGTATGTTTCTGTTTAAAAATTACTAGACATTTTTAATCAGGAAAATGGCATGATCAGAATTGTTTTAACTAAGGCAAGATTGGTGAAGGTTGGGAAATGCAGGGAAAAGGTAAAAATCTAGTTATCTGGGACTCAGGTGATTGAGAAAGTAGTGGCAAGAGGTTACTCAGAATGAGTGTGTAGCCATAAAAAAAGAATGAAGTAATGCCATTTGCAGCAACATGGATGGACCTTGCAATTATATACTAAGTGAAGTAAATCAGAGGAAGTCAAATAATATATGCCATCACTTGAATATAAAACTGATACATATTTATAATCATTATCTCTTCTTGGATTGAGGCCTTGACCATTATGTAGTGTTGTTCTTCCTTGTTTCTTGTAATGATTGTTTATTTTAAAGTCTATTTTATCTGATACAAGTATTGCTACTCCTGCTTTCTTTTGATTTCTATTTGCATGGAATATCTTGTTCCAGCCTTTCACTTTCAGTTTGTATGTGTCTCAGGGTCTGAAGTGAGTCTCCTGTAGATAGCATATTTAAGGGTCTTATTTTTGTATACAGTCAGCCAGTCTATGTCTTTTGGTTGGAGCATTTAACCCATTTACATTTAAGGTAAGTATTATTAAGGATGGCTCAGTGGGTAAAGAATCAGCCTGCAGTGCAGGAAATGCAGGAGAAGCAGGTTCAGTCCCTGGGTCAGGAAGAGCCCCTGGAGGAGGGCATGGCAGCTCATTCCAGTGTTCTTGCCTAGAGAATCCCATGGACAGAGGAGCCTGGTGGGCTACAGTTCATTAGGCTGCAAAGAGTCTGACACAACTGAAGCAACTGGGCACACACACGTGATCCTGTTACCAAAGCCTTTATTGTTTTGGGTTTATTTTTATAAGACTTTTCTTTCTCTTGTGTTTCCTATCTAGAGAAGTTCCTCTTGCATATGTTGTAACGCTGGATTGGTGATGCTGAATTCTCTTAACTTTTGCTTATCTGTAAAGCTTTTGATTTCTCCATCAAACCTGAATGAGATCCTTGCTGGGTAGAGTAATCATGGTTATAAGTTTTTTTCCTTTCATCACTTTATAGTATATCCTGCCATTCCCTTCTCGCCTGTAGAGTTTCTGTTGAAAGATCAGCTGGTTAGCCTTATGGGGGTTCCCTTGTATGTTATTTTTTGCTTTTGCCCTTGCTGCCTTTAATCTTTGTGTTTTTGTTAGTTTGATTATTATGTGTCTTGGCATATTTCTCTATGGGTATATTCTGCTTGGAACTCTCTGGGCTTCCTAGACTTGGGTGGATATTTCCTTTCCCATGTTAGGGAAGTTTCGTACTATAATCTCTTCAGATGTTCTCATACCCTTCCTTGTTCTTTTCTTCTGTGGGACCCCTGTATTTCTAATGTTGGTCCATTTAATGTTGTCCTAGAGGTCTATAAGACTGTCTTCATTTCTTTTCATTCTTTTTTCTTTATTCTACACTGCTTTAGTTATTTCCACCATTCTGTCTTCCAGTTCACTTATCTGTTCTTCACCCTCAGTTATTCTGCTATTGGTTCCCTCTAATATATTTTTTATTTCAGTTATTGTGTTGTTCATTGCTGATTGTCCAGAACAGAAACAGGTTCACAGACATAGAAAAAAAATCTTATGGAATTAGAAGGTCAAGTACTGATCCTTAGAGAAATGTATAAATTTACTGGAGTTTGTTGTCATAATTGCCCAGTATCTCAAGATAGCTGTATTTATAAATTAATATTGATATTGCTATTTAGTATTTATTTTCTGTTTTAGAATTTCTTAATAATGAGTTTATTGACATTATTAGCAATAGCTTTTTTCTTTCCAACTTATTTTCTTTTAAATTTTTATTAATTTAACATAAAATATGCTTATTATTAGGGTTTTTTTCTTCTTTTAACTGAAAAGGTTATTAGAAAACTATTTAGGCAACATTATTGAGCTTCTTTTTAATTTTGTTGAACAGGCACATCTCCAGGTGAACCTAATCTGCTTAAAATTCCTTCACAAAAAAGAACCCGAAGAAAATTAATGCCTTCTCCCTTGAACATAAAACATACCCAAACGTCTGTAGAGTCTGAAAATACGCAGCTTAATGATTCCCTCAGCAAAGAGCTTCAGCCCATTGTGTATACTCCAGAAAACTCTAGAAAAACTTCTCAAAATCCATCTACAGGGACCTTATTAAAACCGTCACATACTACCAGTTTTCAGACCATCAGCTCAAATATAAACAGTGATAATTCTTTGAAAATGTTGTGTGAAGTAGATATCCCTCTCAGCATGAGAAAAGAACATGGACAGGAGGATTTAAAGTCTACATTTCTTATATGTGAAGATACCAGGAGCTTGGAAAGTGAACTACCTGAACAAGAATCCCTACCAAACAATAACATTTTACAAAGGTACAAAGGAGTATTTGCCAATTCTTCTTTATTTATATAGCCTTTAAACTATTGGCTTTCTTTTTGCTCTGTAGCTATATTTAAGATCTATTTCATAGATAAAGTATGCTATCTTGATTACAAAAGTCAGTGTTTTACCTTCATTAAATCTTATTTGTCTTTCTAAATATTAATCCACTAACACAATATTGTGAAGTCTTTAATTTTGAAGTTTAAGTTGATTGGCCCTTATTAGGCTAGAGGAAACCTTAAGATATATTTATTTTGTTCTTCGTACTTCAGCATTAGATGTTACAAACTATCAGTGGTGGATTATCAAGTGTTTATTATTATTCATTAATATCTTCAATAAAAGAAATACCACAGTTTCTATTGATATTAACAAGCCTCTCAACTTGCTCTGAAATAGTCATAAGTATAAGGCATGGTTGACTACATGTCATCCAAGCAAAAACATATCCTCACTTAATCTGTATATTCACAGTTAATTTAGATTCTTCCATGGGAAGAATAATACCTTCACTTTTCTATGCTGTGAGGATGCAGAAATGTCTTGATATCCATCTGTGGTATTAAAAAAGAGAAAAGAAAACCTCAGGCAATCAAGGAAAGGTTATAGTATTGAACAGTGTTTTCCTTTATGAATTAATACAAAGTGCTGTTCAAATTATGGGAGTATATGCCCCGTTTTTTCTCCATAGTGCAAATCAAAATTACTCTGTTTTTCATTATTTAATATACAGGCTTGCCCCTTCTTCAATCTCAACTAAACATCCTCTGCCTATACCAAGCATAGTACCATCCTACATGGCAATGACTGCCGCTGCCAAAAGGAAACGGAAACTAATAAGGTACATATAAATATAAACTGGTTTGATCTTTGTGTGTATGTAAGATCATCTTTATACATTGTTTCCTACAGCTCTTTTTATTAAAATTAGACTGTCAATTCACATGTGAGCATACATATAAGTTGCTCTGAATGTGGCACTACTTTTATATTATCAAAGATCTTGATAAAGCCCAAATATTTCACTTGATATTTGCATAAGATATTCCATGTTTCAGATTATTTAAAATAAATTTAAACATCTTCTGGCCTTCAAAAAAGTTATTTAAGTTTTTTCTGTTGACAACTTTTACTCATTTGGTATTTTTCCCTTTAGACATTACTGAATTTCTTCAGTTCTAAAATTATACTGTTTTAATGGATTTTGTTATCTGGTTAAAATGTGATAAGTGAATAAACTTTTGTTTCTGGCTATGACATTGTAGCTTATATCAGACCTGGCTTTCTACCAGGAGCAATTATAAAAGCTAACGAAATTCAACCTGTAGCTGCTTGAAAGCCCTGGGGAACAACCAACACAACCAGGACTTGGGGGTCTAAGATCCCAGAAAACTGGAAAACAACTTGTGGAGAACTGGACTTTTCCTGCCTCTTTTTTCCATTTAGCATTTTGCATCTGACTCCTCAATTCATGGCATCAAATATAGAGGTCAAGCAGAAAATGGAAGCCTAGTGCTATCAGCACCTCACTGAGCTAGGGAAGCAAAATCATCTTGTATAGCTTTTGCCTACAGCATATTCACCAGTTTCTAAACTCCATGGAATAAAAGACCAAGAAACCAAGCTAAAAGTGGCTACCAAGAGGCTAAAGTAAGGTTTTGATCTTCTCATGGGGCCAGGATACAAAATTACTGTTTGGGGATCATCATGAGAAGATGGACAAAGAAGACAGGACAAAATTACTAAAATCAAAAGAAAAAAACAGAAGCAGTAATAAAGATACTGAAATTATCAGATAGGGACTTAAATTTAGTTGTGATTAAGTTCAGTAAAATAGATGATAATTTCCCAGAGAACTGGATTCTATTAAAATGAATCAAATGGCTATTCTAGAGCTGAAAAATAGAATTTACTGAAATTGCAACTCAATAAATCAATTTAACAAATTAGGTATGGCAGAAGAAAGTTTAATGAACTTTCATTAAAGAAAGATAAGTTTCACTAAAGAAGATAGGTTAATAAAAAAATATCCAAACTAATGTACAGAAGGATAAAAAGATTAAAATACAGAGAAGAGCAAAAAAGGGATCTATGGTACATAGATCTAGCATGTATGCATTTTGAGTCCCAAAAAGAAATGGGGGAAAAAATGTAAAAACAAAAACAAAGAAACAAAAAAAACAGTATTTGAGATGATGCTGGCTAATAATTTTCCAAAACTGACCAAAGATAAGAGAACACAGGCTCAAGAAGCACTGCAAACTGCAAGCAGCATTAATACAAAGCAACATACCCAGGTAAATAGCAGTAAAACAGCTAAAAATTAAAGACAGGGGAAAATATCTTAAATATATTGTTATATGACATGAAGTCCATTGTATATTCTTTATATCCTATAACACTGAATTCATTGAAAAGATATAGTGAATGATTAAATTGTAAAATGGATCTGATTTGCTTTAACTCTTTTTCTTTAGTATGTGATTATGGAGAGAAGAGTATATGATCTTAAGATAACCCTTTTTTTTTTTAAGTTTCCTATTTATAAGTTTCCTATTCCACTGTGGATCTGTTATCATCTGGGCTAGTGTTAACAAATTTACAAATAGCCTATTTATTTGTGCCATATAGAGTGTGATCTCATAGTTGCATCCAACTTCTGTTCTTCCTTCTCCAGAGTACAGTAGAGTCTTGGAATGTTTATGCTTAAATTTCATGGATTGCTTTTTCCTGAATATCTCTGATTATCCATGACAGTTACAATCTTGTATTTTGCTATGTCACTGATTTGAATTGTGCAATTTGTTATATAGGAATCAATCTTTTACTGAGGCCAGCTAACCACCATCATCTGTTTTATCCATCTTCTCACTAATTTTTATTATGTCAGTCATGTTATTCTTTTCATTATTTAGTGCTGAAGACTTTTCTTGTTCTTCACTAGTAACATGCCCTGCTGTTTTAACTCAAATCTAACAAAAGTTTATAGCTAAGAATAACTTTTAAGTGTAAACATAGACATTATCAAAATGAAATGATTATTCCAGAAATATCCAGGTATATAAATTGTGTATTTGGAGTGCGTTTAGATAAATTAAAGGGCTTCCACACAAACATCTAATATTGTGAAATAGTATTAAAGGACAAATAAAGTAAGATTTCTCATAGCCTATTAATTGCTCTGTAACATTCCCTCTGGTACCAATAATTAGATCCTGCCATTAACTAAGGTTAAAAGAGATTAATGCTAGAAATGTACATAATTACTTTTAAAAAAAAATCTTCCTTTCCCCCAATTAAACCTACATGAGCTTGAGAGTAATAAACTCTGGTATTTTCCACTTAGCAGTTTTATGTACATATTTAGGTGTGTGTATATATCATTATGGTTTTTAAAAATAAAGAATGGCTCCATGTATATAGTTATTTACTTATCTATTTTGTCAGTTTTTCTCTCAAAAAAAAAAAATACCAAACATTAGCATCCAGAAGCACTGAATATTCCAAAAACCTACCAGACTGAATTTTTTAGTACTACTTAAATTGAGAATATCAGATATGTAATAATTTCAATTTCTGTAATCATTCTAACAGACTATTTTAACTAACTAAATCGATTGCCAAATATACAAATACAATACATATGTAAATTTCTACTTTTAAATTATATTTATTAATTTGAGGTTTTGCTTGCTTTATGTCTGGTTGGTTGCTTGGTTCTTTGTTTGTTCCACTGTCTTTCTTGGCACTCAGAAATGGTCTCACATGTGCATACATTTTTGGTTTTGAAAAAAGTCTGTGATTCCAATTAGAAATTATCTCAGCTGAAAGAATATGAGATGCATTACATTTATTAAGCAGAAATATTCTACCTGTGTATGGAAATAAAAGGCTAATCTTTTATTAATAGTTATGGAAATATATTTGACACACAACTAGAATATTCTCTAGGTTTCTTCCCAAGATAGTCTTTAAAATAATTTGCATTTGTACCCATAACAATTTCAGGTCTTTTTATCTTATGATCTAAAATAAAATAAATCTTACAGAAATTTATAACAAATATTTTATTAGTTGACTAAATCCTAAAAATACTTAAATGTTTTACTTTTATATAAATATATAACTTATTTTATTAGGCTTTGATTTCATTCCTAGAAATGTGAGTTTTACTCAAGTAGATTTATTCAAAACCCTAATTTTCAAGTGAAAACAGAAGGCCTAGAACTAGCCAAAGTGAAGAATCATACCATAAAATCATTAAGACAACTTTAACATTAATTGTTTGGAAAAACAAACCTTATGAAAGTAGCCAATGACACTGATCTTTATACTTGAAGAAGTAAAAATCACCAAATGACCAAAAAAGAATTTTTCTTTTTGACTTTATAAATGTATATATTTTAGTATATTATATATGTATATATATAAAATCAAAAATGTGTGCTTTAGTATCCAAAATAGATTTGTAGTAATTTAGTTTATTTGGCACCATTTAGGAATAGAAAATTTCTACAACTAAATTTAGTTTCATAACACAGATACCTCTCTGTAACCATTTTGGGAAGGCATTATTTGCATTATTGAACAGAGTTGGTAAATCACTATTATGAACAAACACCATGATCATTTCTTACAGGCTCTAAAAAATTTAGATACACAGGCTGACTTATTTTTCCCAGCATCCACTGAGTTTATACCTATTTTTCTTTACTAGCATATTAAATTGCCATTTCTGGCTACTTTGAATGACCATATAACTAACCCATATTCTGCTGTTCCACAGACATAAACCCGCATCACTTTTCCCACATGGTTAGGATTCCCAGAAAAAGTTGTCGCCATAAGGAAAAGTCTCTAATTGTTAATCCAACAGACAATCAAATTAGTATAAACTTGTAAAATGGTATAGAATATCTTGACTTGCAAGAAATTTTCCTAAAATTAGCTTATTTGAATCAGTGTAGAAAGAGATCTTCCATTTTGACCTCCAATGCTGCCTGCTGAAACTTGACCTCTGTAGGACTGGGAAGGGTTGGATTACTGTTTTACAGGGCCCAGATTAAAGTCATCCCATCCACAGAAACTTCCCTTTTTCTTTCTTCTTCTGAACTCAGGAACCTACAGCATTGAAAACCTGCCACACTGTTTTTTCCTCTGTTTTGTATTATTTTATGTGTCTTATTTTTCCCCCACCCCACCATATATCTATTATGTAAATATTCAGGACATGGGTTGTTTGTGCCCTACTCACTTGTGTATTTTGTGACATGAAGCCACAATAGGTGCTCAGTAATTTGTCAACTCAAATTGAGATAGAAATTTGATCTGTTAATAGCATGAGACTGATATCATTCTTTTCATTTCGCTTTGTATACTTGAAATAATCAAAGAGAAATACTCAGTTATTATCATGCTTTGATTTTAAAACATGGTTTCCAAACAATCTCACTTATTTATATTCCCCAAATTAGAGGTATTATAATCTGAGTTTAGTGTTTCACCTCTTGGATTGAGCTCCTTATCTCTACATTTTGAATAACAGTGTTTGCATGCAGTTCACCACAGCACCCTGAAATGTTCTGTTAAAAATTGTGACATACACCTCTAATCATAATCTCTGATTTGAATACACATTAAAAACACACACAGCCAAGTTCTCCTATGAGCCAAAAATTTATTTAGTATCTCCAGTTACTTCTATGGGATTTTACAACATAATATTTAGTATTTCACTTTCTCTTTAATTGTAATTGAATGTAGAATATGTATTTGAACTTAGAGATATAAAAGAATGCTTTACTAAAATAAAAAAATTTTCCCCTGAAGCTCTGCATCAAATGCGTCATTAACTGCTGAGTTAAATTCTGGATCTGCCAAGCGTGTTCATCAAGATAATTCAAGTGATAAGCACTTACAGGAAAATGGACCAACTATGGGTATGTCTCAGCTCTTATTCTGATATTTAATAAATGATTAACTAACATGTATAAACTTCACATATTTTTATATTGCTTTTGTAAGAATCTCCTTTTATATACTCATCACCTTTATTACATAATGAGTGGTTATCCCTGATATAGATAAGAAAACTTAAGACACAAAATAGAAAACACACTTAAGACCATAGAGAGATTTCTTGATGGAGTCAGAACTCCGAACTGGGTCTCCTAACTCCATTCTGTACCCTTTTGGTTATACAGGCTGCCTCATATTGCAGAAGGGTGGGTAAATAATTTAACTAATATTTGATATAATTAGCTATATACTTAATAGGTTTACAGATAAACTATATCTGTAAATATATCTGAAATTTTTTCTCTTTGCCTATTATTTTTAATAATTTGGCCTCTGACTCATTTGTGCAGTTACTGTGAGACTGAAGTCTATATCTGGTTATAGTCATATTTTAACTCCTGTCAGAAAGTTGAAAAGAATGCTGATGGCAGTGACTGTGCTTGTGTTGTGCTCAGTTGTGTCCAACTCTTTGCAACCACATGTGGTGACAACATCCCCTCAGTTGCTTCCGGAGGTGACGTGAGTCCATGGTAACAAAACATCTTCATGAAGCTAGAGAATATAGCACCAGTCAGTTCCTAGGCCTTTGTGTCCAGACCTGTTTTTCTGATATTGTAGCTCCTAAGACTTCAATTAGGAAGTATTTATTTACTACACTCTCACTATGTGCTAGGTACTGTGATGAATATAGAGATCATCAAGACTCAGTTTGGTTCTTCCCTAAAGGAACTTTTGATTATAGTACTTTGAATTTTTAAAGGGATTTCATGAGACAATGATTATACTGAGAATAACATGAAAACTATTATTACTTTTTTTTTTCCTGTCAATGCTTTTTCATTAGAATAATATAAAATTTCTCAATAGCTTTGTCAGGCTGCATTGATAAATCTTTACTTCTTGGGGTGGCCACAAGAAGTTCCTTAAGTTCAGTGGAAATGTCTTTTCATGCAAATTTAAAAATCAATGAAGTCCTGAAAAGAAAAATTTACTATGATTATTTGATTTAGCATACCATATTTAGTAATGTTTAATAGTGTGTATGTGCAGGTGGTGTAATACTATAAAATGCATCAGGTATCTTCTGCGTAAAGAGAGATGAGAGAACAGTAGGAGAGAATACTAAACTACAGTACTTGCCCAAGGGGAAATAATTATGTCTTATTAAGAATAACGGAGCCCTTAGAAAAGGTATTAAAGTGAAGATCCCTGGTAGCTCGGATTGTAAAGAATCTGCCTGCAATACAGGAGACCCAGGTTCAATCCCTGGATCAGGAAGACCCCCTGGAAAAGGGAATTGCAACCCACTCCAATATTCTTGCCTGGAAAACCCCACGGGCAGAGGAGCGTGGCAGGCTTCAGTCCATGGGGTTGCAAAGAGTCAGACATGACTGAGCAACTAACACAACTTCCAGTGGTTTATGTGGGCTTTCCAGGTAACGATAGTGGTAAAGAATCTACCTGCCAATGCAGATGACCCAGGTTCCATCCCCCAGTCAAGAAGATTCCCTGGAACAGGAAGTGGCAACCCACTTCAGTATTCTTGCCTGGAAAATTCCATGGACAGCGGAGCCTGGTGGGCTACAGTCCATGGTGTCACAAAGAGTTGTACGTGACTGAGCACACCCACACATACTGAATGGTTTATGTCCATTAGGATATCCAAGTGAAAATGCCCAAATACACATTAGGAGTTAGTAGAGAAGTAAGAGAGAACCAGGGCTGCCTTCCTTAGGATCTGTGCAACTGACTTCTCCAACTAACGGCGTACCAAGAAAAAAAAAGGGAAGCATCAGTGAAAATGACCTTAACTCTGTTTACTGAGCATTTAGAGAAACAAGGAGTATCAAGAGAATATGTGCCCCTAAAACTGAAACCTAATGTGACCAAGAAAATTAATGAGTGAGTAGTCAGACCCATAAAGAAGTCAGTGCCCTCCAGTTGTAACAACACTGCACTGGGTAGAGAATCATTGTGAACACTGATAAAGAGCCAGAAGAGGGGCATAGAGAAATGGAACCCATTTGTGAGGTAGCAGTGGAGGGAAAAAGGACTATGGGATCAGGCTCAGCACATTAAGAAGTGCTGATTCCAGTGATACTTCTAAATTGGAAAAATACAGAAGTTTCAAAGTCCCAGGGAAGTATTCCAAAGAATGGAAAAAAAAAAAAAACTTGATGGTGCACGAAAGAACGGGAGAAATGCTCCTAGAAGTAGTCTCTCTTAGTTCAAAGAGCAGAAGTAATTGTGAGAGTTGTTTCACTGACTTCACTTGCTGGCTTTGGGGAGTGAGCGGGGCATACGTTACCTCTGCACTAAAACTTCAGTTTATAATATAGAGAAATGTATTTCTACATTCAAGCCAAAGTATTAATGTTCCTTTGTTGGTGTTATATTTTAAATCATTAATTACCAACTGTGAAGTTTAGTGAATGGTGAAAATTCTTTTTGAATTATACTTTTACAATATTTATATATCTCTCTCTTTCTTCTCTAGGCTATAAAAGAAACATCCATAAAATAAAGCCAAGCATGGTTAGAAAGTTTGGAAGAAGTATTTCAAAAGGAAACCTAAGATAAGCCTCTTTGAAATCAAGGGGAAAAAAATCAAGGAGTCTGCTTTTAAAAGAGTTTTTTCCCAGGACCCTTTCAGGAACTTGTTTAAAGTCTTTGAAAGAAGACCACCTTAAAAACTAGGTGTACCCAAATACTTTCAGCAAGCAGAAAATGAAATTCCTTTTGTTTTGTGCTTTTGTATTCTAAGCAAATATAAAATTTCAAGAGAAAAGGTATGTTTTGCGTTTCTAAAATATTTGCTCCCCTTTAAAATTCCTGAGTTAGTGTGGTGGCAGCTCAGTTTTACTATGTTGATTAGAACATTTTAGAAAATAGTACAGTTAAATTTCCCTTACTGGTTTTTTAAAATGAGAATTTAGGAGTGATAAAATTATGACCCAGGATTTATTTGGTCTTACATTGTTTTAATCATATATCTGACCTTTCTTTCCAAACATATTTAGATGTACAAATGTACATATATGTGCCGATAAAGCTGTTGTAAATATTATTTAAATAGTGTCCATTAATAAAATACTAATATTGTTTCTTGCTACTTGATATATTAAATATGTAAACTTTATTGTGCCTGCTTTTCTGTCTCATGACTGACTACCCCTTGCATGCATGTGTGCGTGAGTGGTTTGCATGCCCTCCTCCCAGGGATCTTCCCGACCCCTCACACACCTAAAACTACTACTTTTCATGAAATGTCAATTTTGTATATTTGTATTTCAAATTAGTTCAAGATAAGTGGCACTAGAACCAAGTCTGAGAATAATCTATAGGTTTCTTAATGATAATGAGAACATGTTTTAATCATTTTTTCTGTGATAGGAAGTACATGGAGCTGCAACTTAATCTTATGTCCTTGTTCACCTGCCTTGTTTGGCCTGTTTATCTTCTGTTTACAAGTATTGGGTTAAATGCACTTTTAATTTCATATGGCTTAGGAGCTGTGCCATCTAAGCAAACAGCCATTTAACAATCAGCTGCATATTTTAGGCCTTTTAGTTATTGATCATGTTTTTCAAATCAATATCTAATTGGGAGATTGTGAGATGGAATAAGATCTTTGAAGTTTCTTCCCACTGTGACCCGTATAATTCCATATTCATCAAAGTGCACACAGGATCTATTGTAGAAAAACAAACATAGACAATTTTTGTTTTCCCTTTGTCATTAGGACTTTGGTTGTGTTGCCTTTTTATCAGTTACATTGGCCTATTATTCCTTTCCATTTTTCTTAGGTAATTACAAGGTTTCAAAAGAAATCTTTTTACCACATACTGATGAATGGCTAGCTAGCAGGATTAAGTAATCCTACCTAGTGGTCTACCTCATACCATAAGACATGAGTGATTTTCTTATATGCCATTTTTATCAACTAGGGATTTCACCTTCCATAAAAGTTCCTAACAATACCTTTGCAGTACAACCACGTAAAGGAAAAATTAGAAGGAATAAATTGTAATGAATGTGGGAAAAGAAACCTGTTGAATATATGAATGAGGAAAAACTACATGCATTTAAACTAAAACAAGGTGCTATAATTAATAAGTCACTACAAAGCAATTTTTAAATAAACTTTATGTAGAAGATAGACCGATCATAAATATATGACTCAGTGAATTTTCACAGAATATGAACACACCCCTCTAACCAGCCCTGAGATCAAGGAATAGAGAATTATCAGAATCCTAGAAGCCTCTCTTGTATCCCACCTCTCTCTAAGGCTGACCACTATCCCAACACCATAGGCTGATTTTTAACTAAAATAATTTATTTTTGTTAAAAGGTAATATTTTTTCCAAAAAGAACTGTAAACAATACAAATGTGCTTCCTCCTCCTCTCAACCACCCGCTACCAATATTCCCAGTTGTAACCACTGCTAATAGGTAAGGTATGCTGCCAAGTCATTTCTTTATATTCAAGCCTCTATACTTGTTTTTTTATTTTAAAAAAATGTATCATCTGATTTATTTTGCAGTTTATATTTTTGTTCTCATTTGAAAGCAGACTGGGCATCTTTGTAATATCTCTTAACTGTGAATTTCGTAAATACCACTATCACAGATAGATTGCTCTTTAGTGACAATTGGTAGCAAATAATTTTCATGAAGCAAGTCAAAGATCAGAGAGAAACCCAAATGATGCTGTTTCTTTTGACTAACACTGCACACGATTTCCGAGAATATTTTGGAGTGGTCAGTATAATCTTTACGTCATGATGTCCAAAGTATAGTCCCCAGAACATGGCTCACCTGGAGACCCTGCCACGAACAGGGCTCCGTGTAAAAGAAGAGTGGGAAGCAGCAGCCTTCCAGGCTGGACCCTTTGACAATATAAGCCCCTGAAGTCTTATAGTCAGAATCTTACTTGATTTAGCACAGTAATTCCCAAATTCCTTTGAAACATTATTCCCAAATTCCTTTGAAACATTATTCCCAAATTCCTTTGAAACATCAAACTTTTAAAACTGTTTAATTGATAATACAGTGAACCTTCATAATCATAATCATAATACTGAGTCCACTTACCAAATTTTTCCACATTTGTCTGGAAGGTCCCTTTTTCCCTTGTTTTTCTTCCTATGCTGGAGTACTGTAAAACACCCCAGATATTTCATCACTACATACTTGTTTATGAATCTGAAAATATAGCCATATTCTTATTTAATACAAAAAAAGTACCTCCTTTTATTAAAGCACTCCCGTCACTTCATGGCAAATAGATGGGGAAACAATGGCCGACTTTATTTCTGGGTGCTCCAAAATCACTGCAGATGGTGATTGCAGCCATGAAATTAAAAGATGCTTACTCCTTGGAAGGAAAGTTATGACCAACCTAGATAGCATATTAAAAAGCAGAGACATTAGTCAACAAAATTCCATCCAGTCAAGGCTATGATTTTTCCAGTGGTCCTGTATGGATGTGAGAGTTGGACTATAAAGAAAGCTAAGCACCGAAGAATTGATGCTTTTGAACTGTGGTGTTGGAACAGACTCTTGAGAGTCCCCTGGAATGCAAGGAGTTCCATCCAGTCCATCCTAAAGGAGATCAGACCAGGGTGTTCATTGGAAGGACTGATGGTGAAGCTGAAACTCCAATACTTCGGCCACCTGATGTGAAGAACTGATTCATTGGAAAAGACCCTGATGCTGGGAAAGATTGAGGGCTGGAGGAGAAGGGGACGACAGAGGATGAGATGGTTGGATGGCATCACCGACTCAATGGACATGGGTTTGGATGGACTCCAGGAGTTGGTGATGGACAGGGAGGCCTGGTGTGCTGCAGTTCATGGGGTCACAAAGAGTTGGACATGACTGAGCAACTGAACTGAGTGATATCCCTAAGAACATACTTTGAGCAAAAATGTAGGGATTGATAACGACTAACATTAACAACATTATAGAATAGAGTTAAAACTATTAGGTATTTAACTCATGAGAATTATTTGCCAGTTTGAAACAAACACTTTCACACATTAATTCTAACTCCACCAATCTTTCTCTTTCATTTTTACTAAGTTAAAACTTAAAGTTTGATTTTGGTAGAGTAACATAATACAAATAAGTTTTTATTATACTTCCTTACTTTTGTAAATTAGTTGAAGTACTTGTTCTCATGTGCCTGTATATTGTATTAACTTTTTTTACATGCCAGGAGGTAGGTACAGTACATACCACATATGATGAATGACAACTCTGCTGTAACAGGGCGTACATGTTCCTCAAAATCACTGAGCTATGCCAAATTGTGTGATGAAGCCACAAGGCTTACCAGGCAAATGCAGTTAAGGGTACAACACTCAAAAACTTCGTCATCAGCACAGTGAAACACCAAAACCTAATATAAATAACTGCATTTTACATGTTAAATGTTTAAGAAATGCTACTATAATTAAGGCACTTTACCTTGAAAAAGAAGTGAAGTTTGCTCGTGGAAATGGGTGTAAGAGAGTTGCAGCGTGTGGGTTAAAATGAAATGGTGGCAGGCCAGTGATGGTGATCTAAATCTGGTGGGTGATCTAAATCTGGTAGAAATGTGTAACATCGGATGTGGATGGCTGTGGCCCATTGTTCTTGAGAGGTGTGTGTGTTTTGGGTACCCCTGCTTGGTTCACCTGTGTGCGATTTTCTGTGTTCAACTAATGTTGCGTTTGGATGAAATCTCATAAACAAATGTAAAATGCACATTATGCTGAAATTGTTCCCTGGTGTATAAATGGTGTCAGAGCAAAAGCATATTTTCAAAACAGCTACAGCAGAACTAACTATAAATATTGAATATATGCTTAATAATCAGAAAAGGGATTTGCATGCATAAGAAATATATTTTATTTTAAATTATCCTTTGGTTCTTTCACATTTAAATAACTTGGATATCTAAGGTAACTGCTCAGTTAGCCGTTTGGTGTTAATGGAGATGCAAGCCCTAGAATCAGATCAGACATTTTAACTTTGCTTTGAGAATGACTTACAGTCACAGCTGTTATAGTGTCCCATCATTTGTGAAGGAGCCGTCAGTCAATAACTCTTAATAATAGTCTTACTTTTTTGGACTCTTGTCACATGATAATCACTTTAAATGCATTTTTTCATTTATTCCTCACAATAAGCCTTTACAGTAGATGTTAACAGACTCACAGCCCCTCATTTACAATTCAAAAAAGTCACAAATTTTGAAATTCAGAAGTTTTCTGTTTTTTAATTTTTGTCTGTAAAACCTTACTTCTGCTAATGTGGGATTATTGATGGTCTTTATCCCACTTAGTGTGAACATTCAGTTTCCACTGCAGAAATGTTAATGTCTGATTTGGGGATGTTGCCTCAATCCCCATAGGTGTAGTTATATAAGTACAGCCTATATATCATACATATTTTCTAAAATGAAAATTTTGAATCCCCAAACTCCTAGCCACAATTAATTTACATGATGGTTTATAGACAAAATGTATTTGTTTTTCTACTTAGAAAAAAAGATGACACTTAGAAAAGTGAATTTGTCAAAGACCACGGTAGCAGATTTGGAACTTTGAACTCAGTTTAGTGTAAAAGAGTTGCTGCTATCCCTAGTCCATGCACTGCCTCCATCTACAGTGGGGTAATACTCTGCATAGATAGATAGATAGATAGATAAGATAAATAAAGGATACAAAAAGAATCTACTACAGAAAATAAATTCCATTCCCATGGTCATCTGTGATTTGGTAGATTTGTTCAA